AATATATGAGTATAAAACATACACAATCAATAAGATAAGGGATAGAAACATACCAGTCACAACATCCGGTGCTGTGCTGGCCTCCTCGGCAGTAAGCTGGAAAACGCGACCTCAAGTCCTCGGGGGCTCCGCCCTGCCCCTGACTCCCATCCGTGATCCTCAATGTAGCCGGCGCTGGAGCCTGCGCCGGTCTTGTAACACTCCAATTCAGGTATTGCCATTGTAGCCCTTGAAGTTTTTATTATTACATATTAAGTCCCTAAGTACGATGGGCGTACTTCATAAGTACGCTTAGCATACCATGCATAAATGATCGCGGAAGGCCAGCACGTACGCTGGGCGTACCAAGAGTACGCGGGGCGTACGTGACAAATATGCAAACCCTAATTTCCGGACTTGAGACTTATATAAGCATCCTTATCTCATTTGAGCTCCACCCTAATCAGCCTCCTTCACCTTCAAACGTCCCTAAAAACCCTAGAATGATTTGAGAGTGTGTTTTGAGCTTAAGGAGTGCATTTGTGGCCATTTTAGTGTCCATTCAAGAAGGAGGAGTTGCTAAGCAAGCTTGGAGTGGCTTTGGGCTTCAAGAATCTACATCTAGTTCACCTTGAGGAGCTTCTGGAGGTATAAAGCTTTGATCTTGCCATCTTATTCATTAGATCTAGCTAGGGTTTTCTATTTTGTCCCTTTAGTTGGTTTTGGACCTCCTCTTTAGAGTTGAGCAACTACAGAGGCTGAAATGGTTAGATCTGAAGTCCTTTGGTCCATTCATAGCATAAAAATGAAGTCTTGATGTGTGTTTTGACCTCATGCATGGATTAAGACCCTTGGAAAGGTCTTAATGGGTTGTTGGGAGCATATGGGACATGCAAAGGAATAAAGTTTCCAACTTTATGCCCTAGGATGTCTTAATGAGCTCAGATCTGATTATTGGATGTTAGAAAAATTGAGTATTAAGCACTTAATGGAAGAAAGTGCTTAATCTGTTAGTACGTTGGGTGTAACTTAGCGTACGTAGCACGTACGACCCAGGGACCCAGTACGCTGCACGTACCAAGGTGGTACGCAAGGCATACGCACAACAGATGGAGTTGGACATGTTTTGGCTTGTAAGCTTTTGGGACTTGTTTAGTCATTGGGCCTGGTCATGTTTTGGATTGGTAGGCCAATTTATCTGTTTTGGGCCATGGTTTCTATGGTTGGGCTTTATTGGGCCATGAGGCTCATTAATGATAATTAGACATCGACTTTGGGCCCAATAGCAAAGGAAGACTTTTGGGCCATTGTGAAAGGACTTGGGGCTTGGACTCTTCAATTGGATTGTGTTCAGTCCTAACCTTGAGTAATGTTATTATTGTTCAGCAGGGGAGGTTACAGACTGTTAGGAGAGCAGCTTTCGGATTCAGCAGACAAAGGTGAGTCTCCTAACCATACCAATGGGTCTAAGGCACCAAGGCCAACCCATTTTATATGTGGTATCCTAGCTGAGATTGTATTACGTGGCATGTTAGTTGGTATGAGCTAGGAAGTATGCTAGTGGTATATGTGGTATGTTTGTATGGAAGACCATGGGAGAGTCCATGACACTTGGATGTAAGACCATGTGGAGAGCCCATGGCTTTCCTATTAAAGACCATGGGAGAGCTTATGGAACTTAGGTGTAAGACCATGTAGGGAGCCCATGGCATCCTGGAGTAAGACCCCGGGGACGAGCCCACGTTATCCCTATTTGTTGTATGCATAGCTTATGTGATATGTGTAGCTGTTATAGCTAATATGATATGTGTTATGTGGTTTGTGTGTGGGTATGCTCAGGGGAACTCACTAAGCATTAGCTTACAATTTGTGGATTTATTTCAGGTACATCTGAGCCCAAGGGCAAGGGCAAGGCATGATGGCGCGGCGTGTACTCTCACTCGGGCATTTTTATGGGACACTCTGACATTTTGAAATAAAATTGTATTTGACATGAGTTTTGCAAACAATTGTATTGGGATTTCATGATTGATGATATATATTTTGGCAAATTAAAAATGAAAAATTTCTCTTGAAAATGGGGTCATTACAGGTCTGGCAACGAGCGATGGACAGTTGGCCTTCACATGGCCAAGCTGGTCGCAATGATAACAAATCCTGGAACTGAGTGCTGGAGCCTGCTGGTGGCAATCCCTCGCCATGTGACCCTGCCGGACACAATTGTGGCACCCAGATGATGATCGACAAGCACACTCATGCGCCTTGCAGCACTTCCCGCATGTGCGGCACTTTCGGCCCCCAGATCTAACATCAGCGGTCTTAAACCGCTTTGGCGCATGCTGCGACTGCGCCGGGGCCGACCTCTGCTCACTCGTCTGCAGATCAATCTCAATCTCACGCCGCCTGGCGGCCTCCTGCATCTCCAACAATGAACTGTAGCACTGAATATAAACAAACTGCCTGATCTCCGTATTGAGCATGCTCAAGTAAAGGGTTATCTAGGCCTGCTCAGATGCATCAAACTCAGGGTAGAACATATCTCTCTTCGTGAACATCTTGGTGATCTCCGTCACCGTCTCAGAACCCTGTCTCAAATCCAGATACTCCTGCACTAACCTCTCCCGCTCCACCAGCGGAACATATCGGGAGCGGAACATCTTAGAAAACTGCTCCCAAGTCATTGTAGCCCTCTGCTCAACAGAATAGGAACTACTAGTGAGCCTCCACCATTCCTTCGCTCCAGACCTCAGAAGGTTCAGAGTGCACCTGACCTTTTAGTCAGCAGGGCATGAACAAGTGAAGAAAGATCCCTCCACATCAGATAGCCACCTCATGGCTATGATCGGGTCCTGGACTCCATCAAAAGTCGGGGGCTTCGTATTATTGAATTCCCGATACTGAAAGACCCGCCGTGTCCCAACACCTGCAGCCGCCACAGCTGCGGAGGCTACAACAACAGCCGTCTCAGCAATGGCTGCATAGCGATCATCAAAGAACACCATCATCGTGGTCTTGATAGACCTGAACATCTCCAGAATCTGACCCCGGACAATAGCAACCACCTCTTCGCGAATGATCTCTCTGACGCGGTCCTCTGACAATACCGACTCACCCTGTCTGTCGTCTGCTGATCCCGACCCAGATCCGATCTCAACTCTTTTCGTAGTCACCATACTGAAATTACACCAGTAAGACATCAGATAAACCACATATCATAGCGGGGAACCAACTCCCAACGAAGCCCTAGGGGTTGTGACTTCCTTGCTACGCGTACGGGTCCTGTGCTTTCAGTAGTACGGGCTCATAGTACCTTCCAAACCTACCTGTATTTATCTCAATGATCATTACAACGCCCTAACAATACTCGTAGGTAAAGACGAACACTCAATCCTCACTCCCTAGAGAAAGGCTAAAAATCTCATGACTGGCTGGCTGACCCCACACGACTCAACCATGAAACTTCCACCAACCATGCAACACTCGTATATGCTAGCCATACATAACACTGGACCCTATTGACTTTCGAATATTTGATCCTAACCTAAGCCCTTCATCAAACAAGAACAGGAAATAAGGCCAAACCAAACATTCTCAGGCTATAAGATCTTAGTTATATATAACCATGATGCATATACGAAGCAACTATAGTAATGATGTCAATTCCATAAAAGAATGGTCCTAGGCTATCAGGCATCATATAATCAAGCAATTCTATCATGCAATTCCTGAAGATCCCTAGCCTATGACTAGCATGCTGTTCTAACATATCACAATATCAAATAACAATATGGTATTTTGGGGTCTACTTACTGGCTCTGGCTCATTGTACACATCGCATCCTCCTTGATTATTTTGAAAACAATTTGAAAATTATATTAAAAATCTTTTTTCATTAGTTTGAGACTGGATTCACACGAGTGTTCCTCCAATTCACTCAAACCAAGGCTCTGATACCAACTTGTAACATTCATTAAACTCTGGAAATTTTAAACTTTTTAAAGAACCCAAAAATCAACACTGTTTATAGATTGTTTTCAAAATAAGTGTCACATCAGAGAAATCCCAAAATCATGAAATAAAATATGAGGAGGTGCAGATCACGCCTTCGCCTTCCAGCGATCCTCTAAAGTATCTGAAACAAAATCCAAAACTGTAAGCCCAAAGCTTAGTGAGTTCCCCAAAAATACCGATACATAACAATTAGCACAAATATAATAACAGCATGTAATGGGTCCACAACTTAACAGTCTAGATTACCCCTGAGCACACAACAAAAGTCTGGCTTGCCCTCGGCTCCCCGGTCTGATCAGTCCTTGGACTGAATGCCGCTAAGCCCTCAGTACGAGTCTGGCATGCCCTTCCCGGCCCTCAACTCGTATCTGAAATGCTCATGAGTCCTCAGTATTAGTCTGGCATGCCCTCCCTAGCCCTCAGCTCATATCTGGCATACTACAGGGTTTGTTGGCTACAGCAGGAAGCAGTACCACCTCAACCCAACCCACACAATATGTCGACATATAGCATATAATATCATACACAGATAAAGACCTTGCACAATAAGGATGTGGATTTGGTGAAGATGCAATTGCAACACCGAAAGGGTTCCGAATGGACTTCCAAACCCGAATATGAGATGATGGAGCATTATCCTGAGTTATTTGCAACAATGGATTTCGAGGACGAAATCTGATTCAAGTGGGGAGAGTTGTAACACCCGTTTCCAGGTATGGTTCTTTTGAATTTAATTTCATTTTTGAGTTTTGGGATTTTGCGTGGGCCACAACGAAGTGATGGAATGCCCATAGAGTGGCAGCATGGCTCCGGGAAACGCTCATTCGTGAACCACCACGATGTGGCAAGGTCTTGACCACAACATGGTGGCGACTAGGGCTCAAATCCCTAGATTGCGGGATTATATTTACAACCACTCACAAGGAATAATTGCCATCTTCTTGAGGATGACCATGGTTGCATAAGAGATTGTGGGGGTTGGGGATTGTTAGACCTCTTCTTTGGAATGATCATGGTAGTTGATTTGTTCTTCTGTCATGTAGTCTCTAATAACCAAGTTGGAAATAAAAGAATTAACATATGAAATATGTTTAAGAAATGGTTACTTTTGCAATTATCGTTTTATTACATACAATCTTGAACTAGAATTGCCTATCCATTGCTTTCCACATAGCATATGCTTAATAATTATGTTACTAACGAGACAAAGTTCTCAATTTCTCATGTACTACTTATTACCACGTGTTTTCAGGTACACACAAGAAGTACAATGTCATGTATAGAGGTGGCAATCTTTTGAGTAGTACACTTGAAGATAGATTGCGATTAGCTTTTGAAAGAAAACAACTTAGACAATTACTTGTTGTGCATATGTTGTAACTTGAGTTGTTTTCTCTATGGTTTTGATGTTGAATGGTAACACCCATAGACACAAGCTATATCTTTTGTAGAATGTGATGAAAAAGGGACCAATCATGTTTGATGTTACATATTAAAATCTACTCTATTGCTTTTGTTTATTTTATTATAAATCTAGTTGATATTACTATTACTTGACATGTGGTTTGCCCATATCTTGTCTTAGAGTTTTTTTTGTAAAAAGTGTTGTTTTCAAAACTGTTTGTAAAATAGGGGCTGTTTCAAATCTATTTGCAAAAATAGGGTTGTGGCCCCACTTAAACTATACGTATGATTTTTTTAATTACATAAATGGTCCTTGTACATTATTAGAATTTTCAGTTTTATAATATAAAACTTTTCAATTACACATTTAGTTTTTACATTTTATTTTTATTTGTTACCTTTACCAACTTTATACATAACATTTCTTTTATAATAAATATATTATTAATGTATTATTTTTTCATTATAAACATATTATTAAATTTTATACATAGACCTTACTAATTTATACAATTAAAAATATATCATTAACACTTTCAAATCATTATCAATACCAAATATTACTAAATTATATATAACAAATAAAATAGATATTTCACATCATATTTATAACATTACTAAATCATAAGACCAATTCAACATTAAATTACAAAATCAAATAAACATAAAATTACAAGATCACTAAACTTGAAATTATTAGATCAATAAAATACATTACTTACATCACATTAAACCTTGGTTGAGAATTTGGACAACTTTTTCGATTATGACCTAGTAGGTGGCATATGCCACATCTACGAGGTTCGTCGGGATGATGCATGTCCATCTCATTACATATTCGGTTTGTACGCCTCCTACCTTGAGCAACAGAAAATTTTGAGTAATCCGCTTCAATCACCTAATTTGAATCCAACTAATAATCAACATGGGGAAATGGTGCAAAACCAACATTATATTGTAGTTTATAGGTAGCGCTAGTGTACACATCCATGGCTTTTCTCCTACCATGCCATGCCTTATCATAAGAAACATCAACATGCAAAATAGTTTTAATATTTGCTTGTATTTGTTTCACCAGATAAGCAAAAATGAATATAAGAGAATTTAACTGCAAATCATAGGGAAAATGACATAAATTAGTATCTTAAATTTAATGTTGACATCATTTATATATGTAAGATATGTATATAAATAAATACATACCTTATGTTTGAGACAGAAAAAAACTAATGATACAAAGATGAGAGGAGTATGGAAACTGAGGATGCAAATATAAGGAACAAAGAAGTTGTAAGACTGATGAGAAAATTCAATTCGGTGATTAGAATTAATAGCATCAAAAAGTAAAATGTAGTCGATTATAAATAAATACATACCTTATGTTTGAGATAGAAAAAGAACTAATGATACAACGATGAAAGAAGTATGGAAACTGATGATGCAAATATGAGGAACGAAGAAGTTGTAGGATTGATGGGAAAATTCAATTCGATGATTGGAATTAATAGCATCAAAAAGTAAAATGTACTCGATTATAAAGAACAGAGATGACAATTCATCAACAGTAGAATACCAAATGTACATTGACATTTTTGGATTCTTCAACTCTTTTGGAATTGCTTTTACATACATTATTATTGATCAGACAACTCATATATAAAATTTGTATATTTATTTATTTTATGTCTACTTCTAATAATATCGATATAATTATTTAATATATTTAATTTTAATAATATTTAATATTTATATTGACTGAAGGTAAACAAAAATTTTTAAATGGTATAAATTATTAAGGTCTATATACAAATTTAATAACATATTTATAATAAAAAATATTATTTATAAATCAAAGTGGAAAATGAAAATAAAAATACAAAACACAAATATATAATTGAAAATGGTAGTTCCATAAAACGTAAAGGACCATTTATGTAACTTTAAATGTAAAACGTATGTGAAAGAAGTGGGGCCAAGCCCCATTTTTACAAATGGACTTGAAACAACCCCATTTTTACAAGCCATTTTGAAAATAGCCCCCTTTTTACAAAAAACTCTCTTGTCTTATGGGTGTTTGAATGATAGCATTACTTGGACAAGAATGGCCTTGGACTCTTTTTTCTAGTTTTTTTGGAGCTTCTTGCTAGCCTGAAATAATATTTTGCCATTAAAAAAAAATGCTTATCTAAATTTGCCTTGGCATACAAACGAGTGGTGGAACTAACTCAATCAAGAGGATGATAAAAGGATTATTGTTTACTTTTTGTTGGGCATGCAGGAATAAATTAAAGTACAATTTGCCAATGAGAAATCAACCATGAAATGCACTACAAACTTTTGACTACAAACAATGGTTCGCCAAAACCGGTGCTTGACTGAAGTTTAGCTATGTTTCACCAAAGTAGAATCATCTTGCTCCCACTGCCATGTAAAAAAGAAAGTAAGCATTTACAGATAAGTTATCCATATCAGTTCCAAAACTTCTATGAAAGGATGCAAAAAGAAAAACACTCAACTCAAACCCAGCTTGCAAATATACTAAATAGTTTATACAAAAAACTCACAGGTAAAGGCGCAAATTTCCAATTGTTGATGGTTATGGACGTGTGATCTGATTTCATGCGCTCGACCTCGGTTGTGAATATATGTGGCATGCCTGTCAATACCAGGTGTTCTAACTGCTGTTGTTGCAGCAATCTGGTTGGAATGTTACGTAATTTATCACAACACCTGATATCTAGATGTTTGAGGCTTTGCATTGATCCTTCTTCAACAAACCAGCTCTCCAGTTCCTTCAGCATCCACATTTTCAACACCCTAAGCTTACTAAACCCTCCTTTATGGGAAACCATTTCTTTCCCTATGTAGGACTGTCCCAAGAGCCGGAGCACAGTCAGGCACGGAAGTTGACCGAGAGTTTGCATAGGATCCTGCTTTAGCAGTGAGATTGACAATGTCAAAACCTTCAGGGTTGGTGGGAATTCATTTAAATCAGGTAGCTTTTCTAAATTCCCCAACAAGTTTAGATGGGAAAGTTGCCCAAGGTCTGACATTGATTTAAACATCAGTTTTGAAGGGCGCCCTAGACTATCTTTGGATCGCAGCCTTAAGGAGCGTAATTCTGTTAACTTGGAGATCCATTCCATTAAGTCGTCCTGGTTAGAGCTTAGCTGGAATGTAATACCCAGTTCTCTAAGATCATTCAACCTGTCTAAACCATCCTTTATGGGAACTTTCTCATCCAAAGACAATCCCCATAATGTCCAGAGCCTCAAGGAAGAGTACTTTGGATGCATATTGAGACACATTTCGTTAAGATTGAGATGGTAAAGTTTTTTCAGTCTCCAAATGGAACATGGCAGCTCATCTATGCATGTATGCTTCAAATCTAGGGTTTCTAAATGTGTCAATTCACCCACTGATGATGGAAGAGTATCTAAATATGTCGATCTCAGACCTAAGTACCTTAAATTGCATAAGTTACCAAGGTTTTCTGGCAAGATGGGTTTATACACGCCCTCTAAGTCAAGCACCCGTAATAACCCAAAGCCTTCGCTGATGATATGTCCCAAAAGATTTCCAATTCTCTGAGCATGCATGTAATCTGTTTTCTGATGGTTAAATGACGTGTAAGATCGTAGGTGGGACGGATTGAACAAAGAACTTTTAGGCTGTGATTTCTGTGGGGAAGATGGACTGGACATTTCTATTACATACTGGTTTCCTGTTTTATTCTCATTTGATGTAAACGAAGAGAAATAATTTGAGGATGAAGAGTAGGCAACATTTTCCTTACCAATGATTTCCCTTCTGTCGTTTCCTTGTTCTCTCTCTGGACTATCATATTCAACTATCCTACGGACATTTGGAAAATCTACTCTTTCAGAATTAACCAACTTACGATAGTTGTGAAAGAGATTGGTTTCTTGGGCTTTTGGAAACAAATAATCATGAAGAACTCCAACCACGCGACATCTTCTTGGGCTATTGTCAGACCTCAATTTTGATATTTGAATCATGTTTCGGTTGACTAATTCTTCAAAATATGTTTCGGCGATATCTTCTGGAAACACTTTGGTCGAATTCTGTTTGACAAAGCCTTCCGCAAGCCACAGCCGTAGTAACCTCCTTACTTGAATGTCAAATCCTTTAGGAAAAAGCACTGAATAAAGCAGGCATACCTTCAAGTGGTCGCTCAAGTCGTTAAAGCAAAGAGACAATATGTCTACAGAGTTTTGCTCACAACAGAAAACTTGAGACCAGCTGCTTGGATCCTTCATGGAGAAAAAACCTGCAAGTAGGACAATATTCCGGGGTAGACCCTTACAGCTCTGTAGAATTGCCAGCTTTGATTTCTCTGGAACCAGAGCCCAAGTTTGTTCTTTCCCGATCTTCTTTCTGAACATGTTCCAGCTGTCGTCTTCAGTTAGAGGCATCATACGATGCGAAACTATCTTCATCTGTGGAGTTTCCATTGTTTGTAAACAAGTCAAGAGCAGCTTACTTCCGTTCTTTTCATCTGGTAAGGTTTCCTTTAAAACTTCCAAGTTATTGCAAGTACTTAAGCCATCAAAGATAACCAAGTACCTTTTATTCTTCAGGTATGATGAAAGCTTCAACTTCACTGCTTTCTCATCATCCATATTAATGGGTTGATCCGTGATACTTTGGGTTGCCTTGAACAAGTTTAGCAGTATGTCTTTTGTGGAGTACTTCTCCAACACCGAAACCCAAGCACAGAATTGAAAATGGCGCTTGATGTCTTTATTTTTGTAGATTATGCGAGCAAGTGTTGTTTTGCCTATACCCCTTTGACCAATAATAGAGACAACATGTTCAGTACTGTTGTTGGTGAGATGGTCGACCAGAGTGTCGACATCTTCTTTCAGCCCAAAGATTCCCAAATCTTCTTCTTTGTAGGAAAAGCTTGAAATTCGCCGTCTTTGCTGAAAACGTTCTTTGACACCGACAATCTGAATCTCTTCTTCGTTGCATGAGTAACTGAAGCTCAGTTCATCCATATAGCCTACATGATTTGTTTCTTGTGTTTCTGAAGTATAAGAAGAACCCTGTGCAGGGGTGTGATTTTTCACAGTTCTATGATTTTCACCCACAGTTTCTTTATCATCTTTTTCTTCGTTTGAAACTTCTTTTATAGGAGTCCTCAGGTGAGGTTGATGGTCTCTTAGGTACATCAGTTGTGTAGTGATTTTCTTTACCTTCTGGTGGATATTGTAGCAAGATTTCAAGTTGTTGAAGAAGAAAATATGGTTTGTTAAGAAACCAAATACATCCCTCCTACAAGCAACAATGAGCGTGAACTTCTCAATCCCGTCCTCGATGTTGTACACAGCATCAAGGTATTCTTCTGGTTGTTGGTTGATTTTCATCGTGGAAATCATCAACTTTCTCAATGAGTTGAGCGACTTAATGATCTCCTGGACGTCATAGACTATGACTTTGTTTTGGGTTTGTGAATGCCCTTTCAGCATGTCAGTTAGTTTCTGTAACACCACAGATACTACTGCCTCTACTACCATTGGATAAGATCTCTCTCTATTGTGGACTAGGAGCACGGTAGTTATGGAGTTGTGATACCAGGAAAGGTTTCTTGACCCTTTTATACAAGTTTACGCCTCAACTATTCTTTGTGTTTGGCCCACCAGCCTACCCACAATGATCAATTTGTTTCATGGGTTCTTATTTGCTGATCGAGGAAATTGCATATGAGTTTCTGTTTATTGATCTGTAGGAACTAAGAGGAAGTTTACCAGGAGATCTTTTCGTTTGTTTTTATACATGTAACTTCAGTTAAGGTGATAAGAAAAGGAACGTTTATGTGTATTCACACATTTCACACTTGACACTCGAAAAGGACATAGAAAATAAAAAAGAGAGGAGAATTTGATTGGCGTGTCAAGCACCGTTGTCAATATTTGAAGCTACAAGTAAATTTCTGTTTCTTTACGACTAAGCTATAATCAAGGTTAATAGAAAGAAGTTTACAGGGAAGTTACGAGGAGACATACTTTTTGCTTTTTCTTTGAAACACCAAACAACTAAAGTCTATTTGTTCGATTACGACAAAATTAAATAAATAGTCCTATGGTTTACCAAATGTTACCAAATAGTCCTATGGTTTACCAAATGTTACATTAATGTTTTTTTTGACAAATATGATCATTGTGGTTTCTAAACTTAATAACATAATGATCTTTGCACCACCAAAAGGCTTTTAGTCCAGCGGTATCTGGTGTTCCCTTCTTGAGGTTGAGGGTTCAAGTCTCAATATGGACATAAGTGGATAGGAGTGGTTTAGTATTTATTTGTATTTGTCCTTAAAAAAAAGCATAATGATCTTTGCGGTTTCTCAATCTTACACGAATGGTCTTGATCTAAATAAAATGACTTTTTGACACTTCTTAAATTTATTTTATATTTTTTTAAACTAATTACAATTAAATAAAAAAAATAAAATAAAACCACACACTCGATTGGGTTTTGATCCCCACATCCCCAACGATAATATACTTAATCTCAAGTTAAGAACTACCAACACTAATGGTCCCTTTATTTCTCCACTTCAAGACCTCGACGATAATATACTTAATCTCAAGTCAAGAACCACCAACACTAATGGTCCCTTTATTTCTCCACTTCAAGACCCACCATTATGTCCGGTAGAGATTGAAACCATAACTAAGTTCTTTGATGCATCACAAGGATCCGGTAAATGATTCCGTTAGAGATCCATGGTAGCTATTTTGGTTAACAAACCACAATAATAATAATAATAATAATAATAATAATAATAAATCAGACCCTATCGAGGTTAGTAGTAGCTATTTTGATTTACAGGCCACACAAAAAAAAGACCGTATCCACAGAGAAAGGGGATGCACCTATGGGTTAGGGCCTTAGGGGGTGTTTATAATGAAATCATCGCGTGGGTTATTTTCTCGATTTGGGGCGTGATGTTGTAGTGCGACAGTGATGAAAGAAAATATCGCATAGACCCACATGACTACTCTTTAAAGAGAGATTGAACTACCCACTATATATCAGTATGATGTCGCGCCCACTCTCATGTAGTCAAATCCTAGTATGGTTTGAAGGCTATCGATCTGCGGTATTATGCTGTGTTTCTGTAATTCAGTTTAAAAGCAATTGGCATGTAGTTTGTTCATTCTATGACTATAGAAATGCCCTAATCTCCAAACCCTAATCTAATATCCTTTTCTTGAACTAGTATTGTTGAACTTATCAGGCTTAACCATCTTAGAGTGAGAGTTTGAGACCTACCGATGATTGACAACAAAGAATATAGAATTTAGGGATGCGATTTTAGATTTCTGGTGAAAAAGAAGTCTAAGGGATGTGAGTGGGTGGGGGTTGTATGTGTGTAGGATGGGATGGGTAAGGGTGATATCTTATTATTTTTATTTGTAATTGATATAGTAAAAAAAATGATAAAATAAATTATTTATACTACTAATCATGGTGTGTGGATAACCACCTGAAAGATCTTAGCCCTTAAATGCTTCAACTTTAATTCTGATTGTAATAACTCGCTATTTACGGCTAAGCAGAGTTTAGTTCCTCAACCATCTGCCCCCATCTCCCACATTCCACAAATGGCGATTAACCTGCAACTCTTCCTTCTTCTCCCCATGTTCTCTCCACCACATTCCTTAAATCCTAGATCAATTACGTAACCTCCTTTCCCACCATTTTTGTGCTTTCATCCTCACAATCGATAGTCGGTTGTTGTCTCCTCCCATGGCCGTTATAATTCCATATTTACATGTGTTTTTTTTTTCCGGTTGCAGATGCTCCACTGATCTCACTACTTCGTCTTCAACCTCCCACTACATCTTCAACCCCCCACTTCTGTCTTGCTTCTCCTCCTTCCCTTATGAAGGTCGCAACTTCTTGCTCATGCCGGACAACTGCCCATGTTTCCCTAATTCTATCAGTTTCTTCAAGAACTGCAATCAGTTTTATTCAACAACTACACCACACAAATCCATGATTGATAGAAATCAGACATTTTTCCTTAACTGTCCCGTCTATATAAGTCTTTGATTGACTGTAAATGTTTAAAGTTTCTATCAATTGCTTCAATTGCTTCCTTCTTCTTAAAATTTCTTATTCCAACAAATGTGTCCTCTGATCTAATTTGGAATAAGAGATTCAACTGTTTGTTCGTCTTCTTCTCCAACCCACTCCAAGTTAGGTTCGCCATCCCCTCTATCAATGGAGGATTCATTTTCATTAAAAAGAGCATCCATAATCTCGATTTCAGCCCGAATGGAACTTACAAAATTCATCTCCAGGTAAATTTCCTACTTCACAAACCACCATCGCAACCCTAATACTGATTATTTCATTATCTTCACCCATTGAAACCATAAAAGTAATTTGGGAGAAATTGAAAGGAACAAAGGTGGAAAAACATTCAGTTTAATTTGTGAGTAATTCCTACCTCCTTTCTGTTAGGGTGCAAAGTTCTCATCGGATGTGGCTGACCGGCCCTCTTGTATGTGTAAATGGGTTGAGTCTTTCCTATAAATAGGAAGTGATTGACTCCAATTAGGTAAGACCCATTTTGAGAGTTAGTTTAGTAAGAGAAATAACAAAACCCACTTGTACTCTTACTATTCTAATGGAGCTTAAATGATTTTATTTACTCCTTGTGTTCTTGATGTTTGTATGATTCACTAGATCTTTACTATTCCGCATATGTCATCATAATCTGGGTTACTACAATTGGTATAAGAGTAAGTCTTTGAAGATCAAAACAATTTTTGAAGAAATGGTTCTTGATTTGGCTACATTCAACACAATTGGAACGTTTATGGTGATTCTATCAATGATCTCTTAAAATCTATTTGAATCGTGCTTGCGTTATTGAATTTTTTTTCATTTTGACTAATTGGATCAACTTTTTTTTTTGAAAAACTCAATTTTTATGATCCAATAATTTTTCTCATTGATCAAGCCCAATCCGATCCTATTTTCTTTTGTTTGATTCAATTCTCAATTTGGAAATATTGTTTTTAGTCAAAATCTAGCCCAAATGTGAATTAAATTCATTGTTGTTAATCTTGAGCCCAAAAATGCATTTCATCTAAGATCCAATATCTTATCTGTTATTGTTCATGTCCATATTTTGAGCCCATAATTTTTTTCTTTGATATCATCATATTTGAGCCCAAAGATCATTAAATCCATTCGACTACTAAATCGTTATTGTTCATCTTCGTCATCTGCTTACTCGATTTTATGTTCTGATGTTTTTGTCTTGATTTTTGATAAATTTGTTCTTGCGTTTCGTTTTCGTTTCAACATTCTTGAAAATTGATTAGTGTTTGCGATTCTGGACTTATGAATCGATTGTGTATGATTTACTTGATAACAAGTCGATTATGATCAAGTAGAAATTGAGAAATTGTCAATTGATAATTTGATTTTGAGGAACTTGATCAAGAACAGTTGAAGGTGATGAAGAACAGTTGAATAATCTCCTTTTGATCTGAAAATCAATGTTAGATTCATGAATTTTGTGTTTGTTGACTATTGAAATCAAAAAGTCAAACATGAAAAAGTCAAAATCATATTCTCAAAACATCGATTCAATGGATTGAAGCTTGAAATTGGTTGATACAAGTCGAACAAGGGTTGTTTGATGTCGAAATTGCATTTGATTGGAGTCTAATTTCGAAATTGATTGGGTTAGTGATCTTTATGTCAAACGCTGTGACTAGTGCTATTGTTCGCATCTTGAAAGTGATTTGGAAATCGAACACATTGTGGACAATATTGATTTTGAATGATGGAGTCTTGGAGTCAAAAGGAGTTGATTTCGACATGAAAGGTCAAATTTGATTTGGAGTTGATTCTTGGAGTCAAACGAATTTTGACTGGTTTGGTCATTCGCATCTAACATGATTTTGAGTTTTGACAAGTCAATTTTGATGTGTATGAGTTGTAGGAAGAATGCAAAATTGCTTGATTTCGATGTGCACACTTGGAATTCGATGTATGATTGGCAATTTTGACTAATAAAGGTTTGTTTTGGGGTGGATGGTCAAAAATACATCGTTTTGGGTAGATTGAGGTTGATGGTCGAACTAACATGGATTTGGGTTTACTGGTACCAGTCGTTTGATGTATGTTTGGAATCGTTCAATGTGTGCCAGGCTATTTCGATGTGTTCGCTTCTACAATCGTGTTTTGGGTTGACGGTCGAACTAGGTTCGTTGTGGGTAGATTGGCTTGAGGTTGAATTCACTTGGTTGAAGTTGTTAGATGTACGTCTGATAAGTTTGACATGAGGAAGTCACATTTGGATTGAATTCGCAATATGTGATCATGATTTGGGTTCTAAAAGATGTATTCGATCATAGGAATGAGTACAAAAAAGGATGTAGATCTAGTTCTACATAAATATCCCAATCACTAATTACAATGAACTACATCTCTCAAGAACCCTCTACAAGTGGTATGCAACCCACTATATATAAAGGTGCAAACATGT